TTAACATTGACAATTTAAAATGAGCTGAATCCTGCAGTTTCTTTAGATGTAGCGTTACTAGCAGCCTAAGCAGAGTGGACTTGGACTGCAGGAGCTGCCTCAAATAGTTTTGTATGTTTATAAAATGACTAATTCCAAATAGAAATCAAACTGTTATTAAAGCATTCTTTAACTGTAGGAGTTTCTCAGTTGTTTTGCATCAAAAACTAGAACTCTGCATGCAGAATTTGAGGCAATATACCTTGCAGTCCTCTAGAGTTGCTTGTTTGTGTAGGCTTTGCTGAGCCGTGTTGTTTAGAGCAGGAATCCCTTGCACTGTGCTCCTTCTGACAGTCAGCATCTCAGTGGTACTCAGCTTAGGTTCCTGTTCCAGTTCTGCAACTCCTGCCCATGATTAATGCTTCTGGGTACTGTAAATATCATGCGTGGTTAGACAGATGTAACCTATGTCTGTTAGGGCCCTTGCGTCAGCACAAGAGTGTGAGTGTGCTGCTGTATACACAGCATTCGTAGCATGGCTTCCCCAGTTTAACCACACCATCCTCACAAGAGAGAGGCTGTGATTGTATAACCGTATGAGCTTGTGCCAGCATAGCTGTGTCAGTTACACCTTTGCCTGCCTGTGACTGACACAACTGTTTTGTCAGAAATAGTTGAGACAGCCACTGGAGCTGAAGTTTCAAAATACTTTTAGGCTGTCCAAAGGCAGTGCCAAGAAGCAGTGTCACGTGCCTCTTGGAGCCTTGTCGCTTCCTACTTTTATGCTCCCCCTCCTCGTCTCAGTTTGCAGTGAATCAAATAAGGGAGTTGAGTTGAAATGAACGAACCTTAGTAAGATTCTTCTCACCCAGATGCTTGCTGTGCAGTGCGGTGAGCACTTGCATGGAGTCCTGCTGCCTTCTTCATGGAGCTCTAGAGGGGGAGAATAGAGACTTGGCAACTGGCTGGTCTAAGCTGCTGAGACTGGGGATAAAGTGACATTTTGACTGCTGAACATAGCAACAACTGATACTTAGATGCTTTAAAGAAAGCTTTAGTAAAATGTATCGCTTTGCAGAGTCTAGTTCAGCTCTTGAGAGATGATGTTTTTCTTGAGATGCTTTGTTTTCTTACAGAAGAAAATCCTGCTGGGATTGTCATTGTGTCTGAACATGTGTAGTAATACAGAATTTTAAAGTTGATGTAGGTTTAATCTCTTGTTAAATACGTCAGTTGGAATTTGAGATGAATTTATGTTAGTGATCAATGAAAATGTCTGTATGCCTTACAAGTGCTACAGAAATATCCCAGGGTACTCATTTGTATCTCCTTAGATACATTCAAATATTTTACATATTAGTTACATAGTATATTAGCAAACAAAGTTTTTCCATTAGAAGACAAAGCTACCCTGATTTCATTTTTTTTTCTTTGCAAAAAGAGCAACTAGAAAATACAGGTGAAACTTAGGTGAGATGGAATTTGCAGTGTGGAAGAACTTCAATACTGAAAGCTGTAGTAGGGCCAAAGAATGTCACAGTATTTTAAGAAAATGCATTTCTTTGTATTGATCTTTTCTTATCTGGGAGAACTGCTCTTTAATGTATTTCAGGCAGACTTGCTTCCTCTCTTTTCCCTGCCCCGTCCCAAACACTTGATGATGAGCATTGCCTAGAAGGTCAGCAAGAGCTCTCCCCATGAATGTGATGTACTGATCTCAACTGGTTGTGCAGTACAGATAATTTATAGCCATGACTGACAGTTGTGACACTTTTGCTTGTCTTAACAAGCTTCAGGTTTTCTAGGGCTCTGGAGATGTTCTCCTTTCCAGCTTTTAGCAGGAGTGAGTCTGAAGAAGTATTTCCAAGCTGTTGAGCTATTACAGCTCTTCAGAGTTTGTGACTGGTGGGGGAAGGGGGCATTTTTGCATGGAGCTGAATGTTTTCTTGCAGTCGAATTTGCCATTTTGCTGCAGTGTAGTGTCTCGCACTTCTGGTTTGCTTTCTAGTTAAGTGCTATGTCCTACCTTTTTTCTGTTCTCCCATTTCTGGCATAAGCACGAGCTGTCTGGTTGCAGTGTGCTTCCTGAGCTGCTCTGGTGAGGTGAAGAGGGAAGGCCAGAGAGCTGGAGGAAAGGAGGTGAATTGATTATAATAATGCACATGGAGTCTAACCAGTTCTTCTGAAAAGAGAAGACCAGAGCACTACTTTGATGCAGGGGATGCATTTAAAAAGGAAAAAAACCCTCCATTCCTAAACTTACTAGAATATTGAAAAAAGCGAGGCGGGAATGATATGTGCCTTGCATTCACTGCTTTAATCCTCCTTTTTCTCATTGATCAGCCTTGATCAAAATTATTTTAAAGTGAGATGGTAGAGCATTAGTTCTTGTAGATTCCTTGAAGAAGGTTTTGGTGTGGGTGGAGCGTTTTCATCTTGACAAGTAATATTAGTAGGAATTGTTACAAAACTTCTCTGGAACTATGGAAGTAAATGCTGCCAGCGATGGCATGGCTCAGATATTTCAGGAGTTGTTAGCCCAGTGATTTAGTTACCAAATTGCTACTGAATCAACAGGAGGTGTTGCTATTCTAGGCTTGGCATGGAAGAGTAATGAGGTCTTTGTGGGAGAAGTGCTTCTGGGAAAATCAGCTTGTGCTGTGTGATCGCAGGTTGGATCATGTGTTGTGCAGTGAGGGCTGTTGGTGCTGATGAGGCGTGCTTCTGGAGTGTGTAACAGTGCTGTGGTGGCAGCTTCACAGAGGCAGCCCCAATGGCTGCGTGGGAGGCCGGGGATTTCTTCTGTTAGAGCTGCAAAGATGGAGTGCTGTTACCTGTGTGATCCTCATTATAGGAAAACACCCCAGATTTGATGAGATGAACAGTCAGTATGTTTAAATATTAAATGTTTCAGACCATTTCTCTGGGGATGTGGACAAAAACAAGCATTGGCAAAGCAAACTGAGCTGTGCCTTGCAAAGTCTATCAGCACAGTAGGAAGGGGATCCTTCAGCTACGTAAGTCCTTTGCTGTATGGGGGCATGGTGGAAACGAGGTGCGATCCCCAGAATAAATAAACCCTTTCACTGATACAGTGTGAGGCAGCCTACTGTTCTTCAAGGTTGTGCACAAAGTACAGACCCCATCATCGCCTGGCACTGGGCTTGCTGGTTTGTGAAGGAAGTGGTCCTGCAGCTAGCAATAGTGGGTGTGTGCTTGTTGCCACCAATGCTCAAGGTGAGAGGGAATTGTTGTGAAAAGCTGCTAGCGTGATACTAATGGACATGGAAAATGAAGATGGGTATCCAAGCTGCTACATCAACATGGAGGGTCTTGGGGAAGATACAGAGGTAAAAATGCTGAGTGGAAAATAAAGTAAGTTCCAGCATGAGTTGACTGCAGATACTGCTGTTGGCTTTCTGGGCAGGAAGCAAAGGTTTGAAAGGTTCTTTGAAAGAAAATTCTGTGGTCAGGCAACTTCTCTGAAGAGTAGGAAAAATGAAAATCAATCTTAAATCTGTTCAGATGTAAGGAATGTAATTTCATCGGTTCTATTAATAGCTTCTTCCCTTCTCTGATGTATTTTCTAAGGTCATGAAAGATGGCGCAACACCTGATGCTAAATTTAAAATAAAAGAAGCCAATTAGTTGATACCTTTAAACAAGACATTAATAATTAAATACTGACTTTCAATTTTGGATGTGCGTGGTGTGGGCTTGAATTTGTAATGTGGTTGAATGTGTTCTTTGAAACCCTCTGCTTGGCTGTGTGGTCACAGGAGTTGCCTCCCTTCTGTGGGTTGAGGGCTTTTTACTCAAAGTCTAAAGGCAAGTGTGTGTTACCAGAAGTGGAGGGGGAGAGGGGAAGTCCCAAATCACTGGATTAATTTAGTGGAACTTCCACCTGATGTTCTTTACATGGTGAAACTATTATTTAAACTTTTCCTTTGTTTTTTTTTTTTCCCCCTTTATATCTGTGAGCATCTCTGGTCTGAAAGGCACACCGCTTTTGGTGGGTAGCACTGAATCTATAGACCATTTATGGGAAGGAAATAGGTAGTTAATCTCCCAGTGGTTGTTCAGTGAATTCTGCATCGTTAACGCTTCATGTCATTGGTAGATCTGAGAACCAGCTGATGGCAACCATCATCTTCACGTTCTAATGATGCAGGAAGAAGGTACAAAAGTTGTGAAGAAAATAATGTGCGATTCAGGAAATCCCCGTTGCGTTCAGTGAGCGCTGCACACGCGACAGCAGAATGGGCAAACCTTTAATCACTTCCAAAAATGTCATGGTGTTTCTAAAAGGGAATTTTGCTTTGCCTTGTCAGAAATGTTACTGACCGAAAGGTCTGTATGAATTTCATTAATACTGCTCTTTGGACTTGAAAGGCGAATTGAGTGGAATATACAGCTCTGGTTAAGCATCAGGAGCGTTTCTGGAAGGCATGTTTTCTCTGTATGAAAATAGTGTTTTTATTTTGCAGGCATGGGTGTGAAAATGCTGAGGAGGTGACAATGAAATTCAAGAGTATAAATAATACCTTATGCCTAAATATTAAAGATAAACATGATCTTTAGACTCCAGTGTTCTGTTTAGATCATCATCTTGTTCAAAAATAGTGAGCTCCACATGGGATGTCTGTCTTATTCCAGTGAAAGTGACAATGATGTCTATTATTATTCTAGTAGCTCTAAACCAGAAAAAAAGACAGCATGTAATTCAGCCAGCGTAGTTTTAGCTGGTTTAACAGAACAATCAGGATTTAAATGTAACTAATAAAAAAAAAACTTCAGATACTGCTGAGTTGTTTTGCTTATTTTCGTGATAATATAAAGAAAATTAATGATGCTGCTAATGCTTCACAGATTATTTTTATTGGAGGAGGACTCCAGCTGGAAGATCCAACGTTAGGTCACCATGTTAAAAAATTTAAGCGGTTCAGAAATATGTAGTATATTTGTGGAGAAATCTGTGTTAAATGCTTACTTACGACTCTCTTTCTCTGTTTATTTTTAAGACGAGCAAAAATCAAATTAAAGTAGATCTTGTAGATGAGAATTTTACAGAATTAAGAGGAGAAATAGCAGGACCTCCGGATACACCGTATGAAGGCAAGTAAAGTTTTTATGTATACAGTCGCTGTACGTTTCGTGTGTCTTAAGATGCTTTGTTTGTAAAACTAATTAAGATAAAAATTAAGAGCTACGTGTTTGGAAATGTTAATTTTTTTTAGTAGAAAGGTTTTTTTTAAGCTGTTTAACACGTGTTGCCTGGTGCATCTGTTCTGCAGCAGGACAGGCTGTCCAATATCAAATGCACAGGTACAAGCTGTGTGGTACAACTGATACAATGCTGGCTTTATTTAGCATTAATAATTTTAGACATCTTAGCCATGTAGCATCAAGAATCTAAGTTTTAGTCTGGTATAACTTTATGTGCATTTCTGTGGTCAAATGTGGTCATTCAAAATGCAATGGCATTCTCTTCAGACAGAGTAACAGTACAAGTTAAATTTGGGATTAATTTATACTGGAGTGGGGGACTCTATTGGACATTGTGTCTACAGCTGTCTTCAAAAGTAACCTTAGTGACTTTTTAGTGTGGTAAAGCTGTTAGCAGTGGCCACACAATTCAAGTAATCGCCCATTTCTTCAGTCAGGAAAAAGGGACATAATTAAATACATACTAAAAAAAAAACCACAAAACAAAACAAAAAAAAGCCAACTTTAGGAGCTAATAGAGCGTGTGATTAAAGATACCAAATAACTCATAGTGCTTACAACTGTGGACACTCCTATCTGTGTATGATAAACATGAAGCTGATGGAAATGCTTTCTATTAAAATTCCTTGATGAAAAAAGATGATTTTTAAAAGGTTTTTTTTAGTTACCTCTAAACGGTGTATTAGCAAAAGTTCTACTTCATTTGAATTTTTAGCTAAACTTTCAGTAAACAAAAATGTCCCAAGGACTGTTGCAGACAAATTGTTTTGATGAAAACTTAATCGGTTTTCCACCTTTTCAGTTGTTCTAGTTTTCCATGCCTCAAAGCCAAGATTGGGATCTGAGTATTGTTCAGATCTGTGCTGTTTATCAATGGTCTGAAAGATAAATTCTTATCAACTGGGAAAATACCTGAAAGCTGTGTTGTAGGTACAGGTGTACATGCATTCAGCACTGTGGCTACTGCTGGAAATGTGATTGTCACAGTGTCAGGGAGAAGCTCCCTTGGAGCTGCTTCTCAGGCTAAGAGCTGCTGGTGCACTCCAGCACTCTCCCAGCTGGAGTGAAAGAGTCCCAGCTGGGACCCAGTAAAAGAGGAGGAAATAAACCAATACAGGGTGGAGGATATCGGAGGAGGTGAAGGTGCCTAAATCTGAGGAGAAAAGAAATGAATCTGGAAGGGAGGGAGCAGAAAGGTGGAAAGTATCTTGTCTGTAGTGTTAGGGATATTCCCCTCCAGAACCCCAGACCTGGAGTTCCTCTGTCAAGCAAATAACAGTTCTCCCTCGTCTCCCATGTCTACATGCCCTCCTGTCATCGGTCTCCAATGTTTAGCTGACAGAAGATAATAGTTGCAAAGATGATGACTTCTTCAGGTTGTAACGTGCCTTCAATTTGAAAGAACTGCACTGCAGACACGAGTGCACTGTCCTGGTAAACCTACTTGGAAGTTGGTACTTCTGCTTAGTCGAGTAATTCTTTTGAAAATATAGTTGGTGCTGTAAAACCAGTCTTACTTTAAGATGCTAATGTTGCAGGTATTTGGATACTAGGAAATATCTCAGTTATTTCTGTTTGAAAAATGGTTTGAGAGCTGTTACAATGAAGGATGTATCTGTGTGTCACAAAACTTAAGAACTTTAAATCAGTTCATGAGGAGGCTAAAAAAGGTTTTAATGCATGTCTGCAGAACTGGATTCTATGTTATGCTGGGTAATTCCAGCTGGACCAAAATTTCAGGAATGGAGCACTGGGTTCATACCTTCAGTATGTGTAGCTAATGAAAACTGGCATTGTGTTTAGTGCTAAATTTCTGGTGGGAAGTGCAGGCATAGTTGCATCCATGCTAATGAGTACATTTAATGATGCAGTTGAAAGGATATACTAGATATCCTGTTTTGAGGAGAAGTAGGGCAGAACTGTTACGTACACTTACTGTGGCAGGACGATAATGTGCCCACACGCTGACTTGAATCTGCGAGGTAAATGCACCAAGAGGCAAAATTAAAGTTTCCATCAGCCCAAATTCTGGCATTTCCTGATGTTTGAGTTCAAGTTCTAATGTTTCTGTAACATAGTTTGATGCATTTATTCTCTGATGTAGTTACAGATGGCTTGCCAGCATGTGTGGTTTATATTCTGTGACTAAAGCAGAAGCGCGTGCTGCGTAATCACTGACTGATTTCAGTCATCTACAGTCTGAACAGCAATGCCACACGAACCGTATGGGGAGAGGCTAACTGACATGGACATTCAAGTCAGATCCTTCCCTGATACAGGAGGGAGTTTTTAGGGCTGTTGTTGAAGTAAAAGAACGATAATATTTATGAGTGACCTCAGCTGATGAGGTATCTGGAAACAAACTGCTGCTACAGAGTTCTTTTGTAGGCCTTATTGGGGCATTAATTGGTCTCGGGGTGACTGAGAGGAGGAATGCAATCTATTCTTGACAAACGTACAGCTTTTGTTTTTCTGCAAGTGTTGTCAACTCATACTGATCAATTTTTAGAATATTACAGGACACGACTGCCACTGAAACACTGCTGCTTTCCACTTCAGAGCACCCATTTGAGGAGAGGACCTTTAAAAGTCTATTAGCAGCTGCTCTTTTACTTGAATTCAAGAACTGGTCAATAGTTTTTACACATTGTGTAATAAAGATATTAATTTCGAGCCAGGCTTGCATGTGAACCACAGTTAGCGAAGGAATGTCTGAACTGTAAATTCCGTAGGAAAGGTTGCTAAAACTTAGTCTAACTCTATCAAGAGATGTGCTTTCCAAAAAGAGTGCCGAAGGAATTTCTTCCATTAGCGGTTAATTTGAGCTCAGGTATTAAATGCTGGGAAAAGATCATACAAATGCATACTCCCTTCTTCTAAAAAATAAAGAAAACAGCAGAAATCTTAGCGTTTTAAACTTAGTGCTGAGGAAATGAAGTTAACAGCTGTCCAGACTTGTTTATTCTGTCTTCAAATCCATGGATTTAGCTGTAAACTTCAGCGCACAACAACTGTGCTTAATAAGTAACATTGCCAGCTTACTGGTCCCTGCCATTTTAAAATCTTTTGGAGTTGTACATCCCAGCTGGAAAAATCTGGCAGCCAAGCAGTCCATTGTGGAGAAGGCTGTAATAGTCTGTCTTTTACAGGCACCGTCTTAATGGCGTGCAGAAGAAATGGTTATATCCAGGGCTAGGATTTCTTATATTGTGTTACGAAATGGTGTGGCCACGAAATCATGCAGGGACTTTAGATTTTAGATTTTAGTAATCTAGGAACAGTGTAATTGTGTTTCTTGAAAAAATTGCTGCTCATTCAAAGAGAAGAAGTGAGCTTAAGTTGATGTGTTAAATGTCTTCAAAAATAACTTGCCCATGCTACCCTGCAAGCAAAGGCAAGCAGTCAGTTCAGAAATGGTGGTAATTTGGGGCTTATTATCCCTGGTATATTTTCTGCGGAATCTTTTGGAGTTACTGTAGAATTAATAGAGGGAACTGCATTTGTAGTAGGCACTGTAAAACATCAGCTCTGTAAAATATCAGCAGATACTAAACCATAGCCAGTTTCAAGTGTACTGTATTACACTGTATTGTATTTAAAACAGTGAGATGGTGGGTTTTTTTTTTTGTTTTTTTTTTTTTCTCACGTAGATCTATACAGAGTGCTTGAGATCTGCTTTTGTATAGGGCTGTAGATAACTTAGGAATTAAAAAAAAAAAAAAAAAAAAAGTATATTTAATGAGAGGAAAGGTTTCTTTCAGAAAGAATGGTGGTAGAATGAGGGGGAAAATTAGCAAGTGAGGAGCAATGTTTTCAGTTTCTATAAAAGCCAGGTGTCTAAATTGGTGTGTGTGTCTTGCTATGCTCTGTTCTTTTCATCATTAAAATGATGCCACTGCTTCCTGGCAAGTGAGCATGAGTATGCAGAGATGGTTTGAGCTGGGAATCTTGAATGTTTAGATAATGATATAGTAACAGGCAGATGAAAACAAAATGTGTTTAGAGAAGGACAGCAGAGTTCCATCTTCCAGATTCATGCTGTCCTTTATTACATGCTGTAATTCTACAAGTAGTATTATTAGTCCTAGTATTTGGAAGTACTGAATTGCACTGGAGTTGTAAATGCTATCTTCAGACAGTAATGTAAAATATAATGGGAACAGCATTGGATCCTCCTTTTTTCCCAAAGCACGGTAGCTTAGATGGCATTATTGAATGTTCTCAGGCCTGGAATGCTTAAGTGAAATTAATTTCAGCTATGGGGGGTGGGCAGGAAATCTGATTGGTATTTAATAGATGACAGAAAAGAGTCAAAATAACATAACATTCCATGTTCACCCTGGTCAATCCTGTGGCCTTTTGCTTCATTTGATGTCTGTTTTGGGGTACTGATTTATATTTTAGTATATTTTGCTTACGCAGAATAGAGAAATGATAATTTTGGAAATAACTAGAGGTGAATGTACACAGTAACGTACCTAAGGAATATAGATTCTGATTTGCATACACTGATATGACTTTATTAGATGTCATTAACATTCATTTATGTATAAAGTATATGAAATCTAGAAGAACCTTCTAGGTAATGCCTACTGGTGAGTTTAAATTGCTGGAAAATGTGAGCCTTTAGAAGCCTATGTTTTGCTGATAAGATTAAGCTTAATTAATACTCAGTTTTAACTTCTTATTTGTTTTTGTTTTCTGAAGGTGGAAGATATCAACTAGAGATAAAAATTCCAGAAACGTATCCATTTAATCCTCCTAAGGTAAGATCAACATTTGTTGTAAAATTTATTTTTGATCATTCTTAGTTATTTGCTTATGTTCCCATTTGCTTTGCAGTACCCATCTTCCTTTTTTGATTCTCCTCTAGACTGGAACTGTCTTTTCAAGGTAGAAATCATGCAGGATGTGTAACTGTATCCAATCAGAAATCCACTGTTTATTCTTCAGAGTACAAATTGATAAATTCTGGGCAGTGGTTTATTGACCCTCTTGTAATTTCTTCTTGGCAAGATGCAGTTTTTGGGTAGCTTCTCTTGATGTAGAGGGTATTGATTTCTGCCTGCTGCTCTGTGGAACTGCTAAAGAAATGCTGTAATAGATAATTGTTTGTTCTTTTAATTCTTTAAACCCCATATACTATATTTGGTAAAGTCTTAGGTTTAACCTTCCAAGTTTTCTGTTAATAATTAAATACGGCTGGAGCTGCAGTTATTTTGTGACCTAAAGACCAATAGAAATAGTAGGGCTTTACTGCAGTTTTTCTGAAGGGGTGCATAAAACGTGTACACAAGCTTGGGAGAAGGGAAAAGTGTGCTAAACTTCTGCAGCTTGCTGCCCTTCACTTTTACCACATCTTTTATGTGTCTTTCTGGTATTTTCAATCTGTGACTGCTTCCATCTCAAATAGTGCTCAGGATCGTGTTTACTCCAGCTGTGTGCAGCTGCAGTTGTATATTCCTGTAGTCTTGTTTGGTCCCTTCTTCAGTGGCTTATGATAAGCTAGCAGACTCCAGCATTGTCTTACAGCTGTCTCACAGCCTCTTGACTGGCTTTCTGTTTAAGTCTGAAAGATGTTTTTGGCTAAGAATGTGTCCTGAGTTGTGATTATTTTCACCCTGGTATGTAATAATGGGAAGGGACTGGGAAAGAGGAGGAGGGGAAGCAGTGTCACTTAGCTCTTGTCCTTTGAGTGACTTCCTTGGGTCTGGAGTGAAAGACAGTAATTTCTTGTTCCTGAAATGTCTGTTGGTTTCAGTTCTTTCATCAGCATGTGTTCTGGGGGGAGCTAAAAATAAGAATGGCTGAAACCAATCGTAGGCCCTGAAAGATAAGTCTATGGACCATGGTTTAATTGCTGCTTCAGGGCTTGATGCTCATTTCTAAAGCTTATAGGTAGCTGTTAGAAACTCAGTGCACTGTAGCACAGTACTGCTTATTCTGGAATAGATGGTCTTGAACTGGAGGCCTTTTGGCTTGTATCTAGCCCCCCCTTTCATCTGGAAGATTTCTTTATCTTGTTCAGAATGTGGTTTGACAGCCATTGTTAGCTTGCATTCTCTGTGAGAAAATACTTAATATTTACATGGTGCCTTCTGGTGGTTTTTTGCGTTTCACGTGTACAGAGTTGAGCTAGTTAATAAGAGGCTCAGCAGATGTGAGCTCTTACATTCTGTCCTGGAAAGCAGAACTGTTATGGTGTCAGCTATTCATACACTGATTGTTTTGATTTTATTACAGTCCTGTATGTACACTGTTTTGCTGTAGTACTTGGCCAGTAATGTGTTGGCTGCACTGATTGCTTACAGATCAGGGGCAGAAGTTGAGAGAGAGTCTGTGCTGTTCATAAAATGATTGGGAAGAGTTTGGAGTGAGGAGGTGGAGATGAGAAACACCGAAACAGGTCAAAGTCATTATAAGGCAGTTAAAAGCAACTAAGAGGTTTGAAGAAAATTCAGTGGGCACCCATGGGTTTGCATACATTCTTTCAGGGGACAGCTCATACAGGAAAATGCTGATTCTGATTTTCTCGGCGTCTTTCAAAAAATCACCTTCTGTATGCTTCAGGAGTGTGAATACGCTTTAGTGCTAAAACATGGACGCGATCGATGAGCAAGTGCTGGGACCAGGTCTTTCCAACAGCAGAGAAAAAATTCTAATTTAGTGAGGTTTGGGTTTGTTGAAGGTCATTGTGCAAGATGATAGGAGTGGGTGTTTGTGGAAGTATAGCATCCACCAAGGGAACATTTTTGATGCTCTGGTAGCTACCAGCAATTCAGCTGAACAGTGAGATCCAGTGCCTGTGTCTAGGGTTCAGGGATATGCCTTAACTGAGCGGGCTTTCCAGCACTTAAGCTGACTTTTGACAATGCTGAAGATGTGTCTGCTTTTCACCATATGCTCGTGTTTAAACACTGGTACTACTGGAGGGTATTTCTGAGTGGCTTTGTGTGATGTGAGGATGTGCCCATGTGACAGTATATGGGAAAACAGCTGGGGATGATTTTGGCACTCAGTGGAGCAGTAGTCTGTTTCTGAGTAAAGCAAGATTGTATGTAGCAAATGGACTTGCAAGCATGAGGCCTCCTGGAAAAGGTCGTATCATAGTCTTAGCTTTTGTTTTTAGTTTTTAGTTTGATCTTTCCTAAATCAGTGTTACTTCATAATATTACAAATGGTACATTTTAAAGATGTTTACTTCATATACTGCATATAATAACCATTGCATTTTGAAATTTTCTTGTATTTTAGGTGCGGTTTATCACCAAAATATGGCATCCTAATATTAGCTCAGTTACTGGGGCCATTTGTTTGGATATTCTGAAAGATCAATGGTAAGATTCCATATAGGCTTAAATGTGCAAAAATCAAGCATACCGGTGTCCTAGATGGAAAGCAGCAGCTCGTTGCTTTTCAATTTGTGTTTGTAATTTCATATACTCTTAAAGCATAAAGTATTTCAGTGCAGCATTTTATAATGAAATGGCTGGGAAGTAACTTTGGGAAGTATTGAGTAGATATTAACTGATGAATGAGCTTTTTCACAGATCATTGTATACGTTTCATTGCTGATGTTTATTAGTTCTCCAGTAACAAGTGCTACCTTTTGCCTTCTGAGCTTCTGAGCATCTCAGCCTCCTGAGATGAAAGCAGAAAAAATAAGTACTTCATTTTGACTTTGGTTTGCACTTCCAAATAAAATTCATTCTGAGAGAGCTGAAACAATGTGTGGGGAACAGCTGGGAATCTGGGAGTATAAAAGGTAACAGCTGGACAATAGGAAGGGGAGAAGAGACTGCTATACTGGTTCTATCTCAGTTATGGTTGATAATACTTATGATTTGAACTTCTAAACTTTTGCCTTTTAGCTGCTGGTCAGTTGCTGACTGATTATTTGTTACTGTTGTGTTAATTAAAAATGTTTTAATAGCCCAAACCCTTGGAATAAATCTGTCCAAACAGTAGGAGATGAACTCACTGCATACATTTTTCCCCAAGCGATAAAATCTTCAAGCAGTGTGAAATGTGTGCACTGGTTGTGTTGTTGTCTGATATCCGATGAAAGAAAAGAAAGATGAATTTCACTCTTGCACATCTGTCCCCAAGAAATGGGACTGTAATTCCCAGCTAGATAATATCACTGTCTAATTCACATAAGATTCAAATGCTTGTTACTTCCCCAGCTTCATCAAGACTAGTATTGGCCAAGCAGGCATTAGCGGGGCTTGGAAGAGAAACTCCAGAGCAGAAGGTTTGAGTTCAGGTCTTGCAGCTGACACATGGGATATATACTTTTATTTTTACATGATGAGAAGTTTTGCTGTGCGTGTGGCAAAGTATGGTATAAATTAGCAAAATGAATTGTGAAAAGCATACATAATTATTACTTGTTGTCTTCATTTTTTGGAACTGCTTGTTTTTTCTTATAATCGTGCAGTACTTTAGCCATACTTTAGGCAATAGAATCTTTCAGCATGGTACACTGTGCAACTTATATAGCTAAAGCCAGTGTATTTTTATGTTGGCACCATCCCTTACAGTTGTACTGGAGATTAATGGCTCTTCAGCTGTGCAAGTGCAGTTTCCTGAGAGATCATAAGGCAGATCAGCGAAAAGCTGTTGGGCAGAGAGCTGGCAGGCTGGTTTCTCTACTGGAGGTTTTTTCATTGGTAGGTTGGTTTTTGGCTTTGGCAAAATAACAGACTTTAGGGGGTGTTTTTAACAGATCCTTTCACTGGATCCTTTCACTGATTTGAACATAAGTCTCACTGGGAGAGCAGGTTTCTTTCATTTGAGGCAAGGTTTACATAGTGAGCATTTATTTCTAGAAGCAAAGGTGGTTAACAGGGGACCTCATTGCAGTCATTAATAGTGTCCTCAGAAGAATTTGTCCAAAACGCTGAAGTTCAGGGTCTTGTTTTTTTTCCTCTCATCTTTTGCTACTCCTTTATTCCCTGTCGGTTGCATTACTCACAGTACCTAGACTTGTGACTTCAAGTGTCTTCAAGGCTAAATCTTTCTGTACTGAAACTCCTGAACACTTTTCTGTTTGTTTTTCAAAAATAACATCTGCCATTTCCTGTTGAAAACTCTGAGGAAGAAATCCTTAGCAGAGGTCTTCCTTATTTATTGTATTTTGAAATAAAACCAAAAGTCTATTAACAAATTAAAAAGTTCAATTATTTTCGTATTACTTTAATATGTTCATGAATTAGTGTTTCCTGTGAATAAGGGTTGGTGTTCTTGCCTTTGTACCAGCAGAGTGGGGCTCAGGAGACCACATTTCTGTTTCCATTTCTGGAACAGGTCTTCTGTTCTTTCATCAGTGCCAAATGCTGTGACTTGAAAAATTCTCACAGTTCAGTCTTATCCCAAAGCTGCTGCTTTAGAAGTTAAGCAGTTATAGCTTTCAGGTGAGTTTCTGGCCTTGTCAGTTGTTGATGAAACTTTAAAACAAATAAATGGAAAAATAACAACAAAAACATAAAATATCAAAAGCAATGGGCGACCATGAAGGCCCAAAGAAATAATGAACTGAAATTTGGAAAGGAAGCGGAGGAGATTTGACTTGTGCTCTTGTAATCTTTGGAAGCTAGATCTTGCACAGATCTATTAATCTACATCTGCCAATAAAGAGAATGTTCTTACCTTCCCTCACCAAGATGTATTCAAAATGGGGATATTTGAAGAAGATCTTGCCTTATGTGTATTTAAACTGTTTGGTACAAGGAGCACTGATACCATACCACTTGTGTCTTGCTGATAATGCAATGATAATGCTCATATATCTGGTGAGTGCAAATACAGCTATTATCGTGTGTTTGAACAGTTAAAACATCCTACTCTCCCAACCCATGGTAACAGTCTTCTATTCTAATGAGCGTGGTTGAGATATTGTTATGTATATTGGCAGGAGCTTCTATCAGCTTGCAAAGTAACACCTTTAGATGATTTAATGAGTTTAATGAAATTTTCTCTGCAGTATATGCTTGATGCTGACATTCTCTGCAGCTGTGGATTTTTGTATTTAGATGTGTAAATACCAGTTATGCCAGTTTGTTTGCAGAACTACTGTTTACCAGTAGAATTAAAATGGGGATGTGATTATTATTATTATTATTATTTTAGAAAGAATACCATTTATGCTGGGCTGATTTGACTCTTTTGTGGTTTCACTAAACGTAGCTTGCATTTATCTTCCAGGCTAGTATTCTATCCCTGAATTTTATTCTTAAATATAAGTTGTATCAATACTTTCAACTGAAACCTGAGAGCTAAATTATTTGGAAGTTGTTTTGCATGAATCCCTTGAGCAGTGAGTTTTCAAGCAGACATGCTGTGGTTGTGTACGTTGCTACAAAAAACTTTTAGCTGTTATGGTTTTGACAAATGATATAAAAATGAGTTATAAGAATATTTTTTTTGGTAGTGGTTGTACTGAAGCATTCAACCTTCAGTTTTAGTTGATAAGCAAACTTGTTATAAGAGATAATATAACTTTAATAGGTACATAAGCAACAGCCAGCAAGTAATCATTTGGGCATCTAAATCTGCTGGAGTTTTTGCTCAGTTTGTTGGAGGGACACTAAGCCTTTCCAGAGCTTTGAAAAAATAGGCAGAGAATATTAACGCTGCTTGAAGGAACTCTGCAGTAAACCTGCCACTTCCCCCCCATCCCAAAGTCAATGTCACTCCACCCAGTCTTGTATTTCTCCTCTAAATAGTGACTGTACAACAGGCTTTCATTCAAAGGCCTCATTCATTTCTTCTCCCCTTCCAAATTCCGTAAACCCCTGGTACAAATTCTTTTCTCTAGGATGAACAAGTTTAGTTATTCTACAGATTGAATAAATACTGCAGATTATTTAATAGTAATGACAATAAATGTTTCCAGTAGCCATGCCTGGTTGACAGACTGGAACAGCAATCTGCTGGCTGCAGCTGTGCCTGCTGTTCTGCTGGGTTGCCTCTCAGAGGTGGAGTACCAGAGAGACTGTTTTCAAAGAGGAATGTACAGAACATAAATAAAATCTTCCTTAATAGAAAATTACCTACCTTTAAAGATGATGTGGGGAGAGGGAGAGTGCTTCGTAATCCTCTTAGGACTCTTTCAGCTCATCAAAAGGTAGGAGATTTCTTACCTCAGGCATGCTGAGCACAACTGGGTTGGCATGTCTTTCAATATTATCATTGTATTCATCCCCAGCTGAGGCTGCTTATTTCTAATGGAAATGCCCCCAAGATGTTAAACGAAAAAAAAGTGCACGTTTGCATATCTATCAGCATCCAGGTTTTCCTTAGCAGAGTGCTTCCCTGCACTGTCCTTGCACGTTTACCAAGTGCCATGCCATCAGGAAGCCTGCTTGGGGGATAGGAGTTGCAAGGTGGGGATTACCATTCTAAGTTCTCATTTCCCACCCGTTTTATAGATTTCAAGATAGCAGGCCTGCCTAGAGGCTTAGGAGCATTTTGGGATAGGGTCAAAGGTTACAATGAAGTTGAAGAGGTCCTGAGGTAGAAGGCAAGTAGAAGACTGGGGTGCAAGAGGCTTACCTGCATCAGGTAACTGCCTGCTTATTTATAGTTGGTAAGACTTCAGGTGGATTTGTGTGCCTGCTCTGAGCGCTGTAGTCTAGGGAAGATGGGAACCATGGGAAAAACCCAGAGTAAATAACAGGAATGATGGCCTAAGCAAATACGACCTATGAAAGATCAGCCATTTTAGCATGCCAATCAGCAAATGCAGTGAGGCATCAAAGTTGGTTTCCAAGAAATTTAGGAGGCAAAGATGTCAGACAAGAGTCTGTCAGGAGTGATAGAATACTCTGCCTCTGGCAAAGAGGAGGGGAGGGAGTTAAAACCCGAACTTGCAGCTTCCATTGCTAAAGGGAATTGCTTCAACTTGATGATAGGTTGAGTTATAAATCCTCACCTGAAAATGAGCTTCAGGTATAAGAAGAGTTCAAAGTATTTTGTTCAAAATTGTATTCCTGAAAAATAGGCTGATGATGGACACTGGAAAATGTGGAAAACCTCTTTCTTTTGGAAGTTGGTTTTAAAGAAGATCCTCAACTTTCCTCGCAGCACATTCTTGTCCAGCTTCTGGGGAGGTGATGCTGGGTGTGTGTTCTTGTTTGTTTGTTCTGTGCCACTCTCAGCCTGCTTTTCTCCAGAACTGATGATGACACTTGTTTCTGCTTTTTGCTGATGAGGAACAGGTCCTGCTGCTTTTTTCTGATGTCTGTGAACGTAATTCTGAGCAGTCATTTCTGTTCACTTTATTATCCCAGAAGTAGACAATAGGAAGAAAGAAGATGGCTTTTTTTTTTTTTTTTTTTTTTAGGAAATGGGAGAATGAGAATCTATTTTTAGCTGTCTTTCCAATTTCTTCTGGGAATCTTAATTTGCTTCTGAAAAAATTAAGCCTCATCTACATAGAAAATAAAAAGACTTTTGGCCTTTTGATCAGGAAAGCTAATTCATATCCTAAAGGTAGGAAATGTTGAGTATATGGTTACAGTACCCAGTGGTACAAACCACAAACCTGATTTTCCTTTCGTTAAAAAAAAAAAGAAAAAGTGTATGTGTATTTTTACACTATTAAAAGCTAAAACTGTATCTGGTTTTCTTTTATAACTTAAAAATATTTCTTCAGGTGCTTGTGTCAAATGAAGGCTGTCTTATGCGTAAGATGAAGAAGCCATTTTGAGGAATGAAAGTACATTGTAAATTACATTTTAAAACCTTTTAACATATATAGCTAACCCAGCGAGTTCTGAGAGTTGTCAGCCATCTGTATATCCACACAAGTGAGGTATTTATTTTTGTTGTCCATTTTGAAATTGGAGTGTCAGAAGTGCAGGTCCCAAGATGCTCCATATCAGTCTACAAACGAGAGATGAGTCTGGAAAGGCAGAGCCAGCAGGAGCCATGCTGGGACTTGTGCTCTGTTTCTCCAAGGCACCTCTTGTCCTTGGTTGTGCCCCTGCTGTGCTGTTTCTGCTCCTAGAAGATACAGTGTAAATGAAAGTAAATTGCTTGTAAAAGCAGTGTGTGTGGTCAGAACTCCACGAGCCCTGGGCAGTCCAGTTTAAGTAATGGTAGTATTTTCAAACACCTGAAGTAGAAGGATTTCTGTGAGACAAGAGTTTGGAAGAGCTTTTTTTGGTGACAGTGTAATTATGGTGTCTGTTACAGTTGCTGATAGTTCATGTTAAGTGTCTCTCCCCAAAACAAATAATCCTAGACAGTGTAATAAAACAACATAACTGAGGACCTTGGGTTAATAGCATGCGTAGTGGCTGTGGTAGCTTCTGAAATTCCCTGCAAGAAGATGGAAGTGGTTACATCCATTTGAGCTTAGAAAGGTGAGAAAGTTTGGTGGTCTGTTGACACCTGGGTGCCAGAGAAGTCAATACATTGCATCATGAGTCATTTAACATTAGCAGTTATCCTGTGGGTTGTGCCAGCAACGTATGTGTTGGGCAGATTGATTTCAAGATGGCAGAGAAGAGGAAGATTGTAAGAGTAAAATAGCACAGGTGTGTGTAATGCAAAAACACTTCAACTCTGTTATTCAGGGTCAGTCTTCTGGTGTGTGTGATTTAGCTATGGAAAAGCAAGATGGTTTGTATGCAGTTTACTGAGTTAGCTAGGATCTCTTCGTGCAGCTGAGGCTGCGTTTCAGTAACTAGGTGTTCTTATTGGATTAAGCATCCTTCTAGTTAATCCCCAGCTTTATAATTTAAAGAAGCATTCAGCTAGGAAGCTGAAATACTTGATTTCTTAGAATACAGATCTTGTAAAAGTGTTAGGGCTTTTCAGTTTTTTTGGGTTACGTTTTGAAGAGTTAAGTGTATGAAGCTGAGTGCTTGAGGGGACTTGAAACTGATGTAGCAGTTGGAATGAGACAATGTGTGCTAATTAAAATCTCTAGCACATGGGATGCTTCTTCTCACTTCATTTTGATGTGGAACATTACACTGTGAAATCTCAGTGATTATCAAGTTGTGGGTTTTTTTTTAACTTAACTTTCTAAGAAAAATATTTTAAGAATTTGACATAATTAGGGAAGAATGCCTAATTGGACTGGCTAGCAACATAGGAGGAAAGCCTTAGTGTATACAGCTAGGAGTACAATACTCAAGTGTCACAGACGTACCTCTGACACCTTACGTGACACAGGGTGCAGCATAGATGCGCTCTGCCGTACCGCGAGACAGCGCGTCAGTACTGGAAAACAGCCAAGCTTCTGAAATCTGACACTGGAAATACAAAAAGAAACAGACAGCAATGCTATCTGGACCAACAGATGAAATTCCTCTCTACCCATTCTAACAAACTTGCTGCACTGACTTCCAGCCTTCCAGAAAAGGAGAAGCTACTTTCTGTTAATTGATACTTGTGTTGATTGATTATGCTTTTCTCCACAACGTTCCTTTAGCATTTCACGTACTGTAACTGTCTAACTCAAATCTAAAATGTTGCATTTTTCCACTAGTAAAAGGTTGAATAGTTTTGTGTATTACCTTGAAGATCTGTCTGTGCCAGCAGCGCAACAACTGAGTCTGCTGAACCGCTCAGCACAGCAGGGTCCTGATGTGGCTGCCAACATGTGCCAGCTGGAATGGTAGATCAGAGATGGTGTTCATGATCAAAATCTATTGAAACTGTACATTTGAAATGTTACAGCTCTACAGATTAACATGCAAATAATGATTTGATACCTCTTTTCTGAGTGATGATTGACTTTAGATACATACCTGGTTTTCCCTTTTATAAGCAATTGAAGTCTCTTATTCTCGATAGGCGTTGAGATGAAGGTAAATGATGAACTCTTAGGAGATGGATGGTTTAGACTCCAGAGCCACATTGTCTTCAACAAACATCTTTCAGAGAAGCCATTAAATGCCTTTAGAGCACCATTGTTTCTACAGAAACGTTTTCTTACACTGTCTGGAATTGTATCCCAGCTGAAACCGGGACGACTGGTTGAAACTGTCAGTAGTGTATCATGTTGAAATGAGACAAAGTTGGGAGACTACCTTCAGTTGCATGCTTCTGTAATTGTCCAACCTTTTTTTGTTGTGGTAGTGATTCACTATGTAAATTGTTAACTTCTTTAGGGGGAAGAAATGTAAAGTGATGCAATGCAAAAGATGTCAAATGTAAAATTCCTTATCTGGTATAAGAATTTTAAATAAAGGTCACTGTTTCTGTATATGCTATTTTCTTATAAAGAGTGCCAGCAGAGGGAGCACACGTTGGCTGACAGTTTGGTACCCAGAGATTGAGCAAGGTGCTGTTACGGGTAGTAAGGAAGGACAACACAAACTTCAAGCTAGCTTCTTTTTTTGAGCAAGTGAAATGAATTCTGGGATGTGGGTAAGATCCATTGTGTAGGTCAAGAGTTCTTTTCCACATACTTAGAGCATCGTTAATGATCACGTCCCCATTTAAAAACTCACTTCAATTAAACTGTGTTTTACTACCTCTAAACTGTACTAGTTGAAGGTTCTAACTTCCAGATTTAAAATATCTCTATGTATTCTCATATCCCTTGTTTTATGACTGTAGCAGCAGAGGTGTCTACAGGTGTGGGATTTGGTAAAGTCATTTTCAAATTCTAATTTCAGGGCAGCAGCAATGACTCTAAGAACAGTGTTGTTATCTCTGCAAGCGTTGTTGGCTGCTGCAGAACCAGACGATCCGCAAGACGCAGTAGTGGCAAACCAGGTAAGAAGCTCAGTTGACTGAACTGCTAACATTTCTGTAACCTTCATTAACTTGAACTGAGTTTGGAATAAGGTCAGTCAATAAAGATTTTTCAGTCACCTATTTGAAAACTGCTTTACAGTAGGTGTGAGTTACTACAGTGTTTTGTTCTTTACTCTCTGTATTCCAAAGTAAATAGCAGTTACTGTGCAGTGTGAAAAGATGTATTTGTTTCTTGGTTCCTTATTTAGCTTGTAAGAAATGTCGGGAGGTAACTATGCATAGTAAAATGGATTCCAACGTAACTTTCCTTTTAAACTTTCCTTCCAGCCTGCCTGGTCTGGTGGTTGGTGACCCTGCACATAGCAAGGGGGTTGAAACTAGATGATCATTACAGTTCTTTTCACCACAGGCCTTTCTATGATTCTGTGAAAATCTAAGACTTACACAAACATTTGTTTTTATTCTGAAACTATTTATTTATTGGATTTGAATTGGCTTGTAGCTCCTCTTCTAGATTAGTATGAATACTGCTGAGTGTTGATTTGTTGAAAACAAAAATCTTAGGATTAAATGCTGCAAGTCACTATTCGTGAGACACGTTTAATCTACATGGAGCATTCTGTGTTTTACCTTTGCAAGTACTTGGGTTAACTATTTTAGTCAAATATGTATTAATAGAATTCTAATGTAATCAGCAAGGTTTGTTATTCTTCAGACAGTAGCAACAATTTATTATAAAAAAAATAGCTGGTGCTATTTAAAATGTTGATCAAGGATGGGAACAACCTTTCTATGGCTTCAATCATTTGACAGTTTTCAGCAAAATCCCAAGTATGCATTTATTTCTCCTTTTTTCTTGGGGGGAAGGGGAGGGGGGAGAGAGAGAGAGAGGGAGAGGGAGAGGGAGAGAAGGCTTTGCTTTGCATTTGGCTGATAATAAGGATATATTTCAGTAACAAAAAAGTAAGTAAGTAAGAAGTTCTTCCAGCATCAATCTTCTCTATATCTCCTGTAAGTCAGCATGCTCCAGGAAAGGGTAAGAAGTGTGTACTCCCTTCTCCTAAAGTCTAGTCTATGTAGGGTGATAGTTAATCAGTTTATCAAAGCTGTCTGGTTTTAGAGGGAAACGTGGAGAACAGAGGAAACTCATTTTGTTCGTTGGTGGAAAAGCTGTTTTACATTTTCCTTTTTCACAAAGAACAAAAATAGAACTTCCTATTCTGCTGCTGAAAGTAAAATTCCAACAATCTCATAGAAACACTTCAGCTGGAAGTTGTTCTCCCTCAGATAGAAAACTTCATGAAACTCTCTGGACTCTGGATTGCAGTTTTCCAGGTGGTCTTTGGGGGTGTCAGGTGGGACTGTGGCACTGCTGGTGTGGGGAAGATTCAGTTTGTCCCCTACAGATATCTATGTGAAGGGCCAATCTGCTGTGCCAGCAGGTTGGCCTTTAGTTACACACGTGTGTAAGTAGAAAGTTGTTATAAACTCTGAGAGAGGTGAAGGTTAACATCCAGTTCTTCCACATAATGGTGCACGGTCTTTGTTTTTTCCAGGTCACTTATCTTGTCCCATCCTCTTGTTCCCCTCTACTATCCCCAAAAATCTTCTTGAAAACAAAATCTAATAAGGAATTATGTATCCTGTATGCTCATCTTTGTTTTACTTTGCTAATTTACGTAATTATTTGTTAGATGAGGTACAGGGAAGTATTTTCCTACACATGTTTTGGCTGAATCTCAGGGTGAACGCAGTGTTCTACTCCTCCTGCTCAGATAATGGCAGTGATTTCAGGTACCTGCCATCTTCAGATGCTGTCCAGTGCCAAAACTACTTCATCATACTTGACTGGTTACAGCTGGTTTTTAAGTACAGCAGCATAATTGACTGTGACTCCCAATACAGAGACATCAGTAAGAGATTCTTGTGTGCTTCTCAGTTCAGTGAGAAGCCAGATTACTAAATAAAGGAGTTCTACTTTCAGGAAACTGAAAGCTAGTTCTGAATAAAATGCAGTTATGCGAACACGACTTAAATTCTTTCCTCTTCAGCTTGTTGCTTATTAGATCTGCCAATATTTTCAAATCCTTAAAAAATAGAATAGGAAGTTTTCTTAAGACAGAATTGTTTTGGGATGTTACTGATGCTACCCTTACTGCTTCCTCACTTCTTTAGTTGTAAAGATTAAAAATGTATTAGAGAGCACTGTTTATGTAAGAGTTATTTCTACAGTAGGTTATCTTCTCTGTTTAACACCATTAATAGTCAGTGACTATGTGGGGTTCTTCGTGGGGAACAAAGTTAGCAGGAGGTGTACACAGCTCATAATGCAGTTGAATTTGGGACTGTGCTGTAGGAAAAGTGAAATGAAATGTAAGAAGTACTGACTTGGACAGTACTTTACAGGTATGATTGTTTAGATGTATGGATAAAATACTAGAATGATGGTTGTGTTTCTGTCCTTAAAATGACTCTAAAATCGTGCATTTTCCTGTATCTTGTCACATCATCTTAGTGCTAACACTTATTATATAGGTAAGGATGGAAAAACTTTTTCAGGAGGAATGATTAAGGAGAAAAAGTATGGTTTGAATAAAGGCAGTGTATGGTTATGGAGATTTAAAACTTGATTTTCTAGATGAACGTTGCTGGAACAGGAAGCTGTCGTCTTGCTTTGTTGTCTACAGTTCATGACAGATGACCCACTTTCCTGGCTTTTGAGTTCCTGGCACAGGGCAAAAGCTCTTATAATGGTCACTGTGTTGTTTGCTGAAAAACCTGCTAGTGACAAGATTGGTGCAAAATAAAATTATGCAGTGTATTTAAATGTTATTGTCTGATTAACAGTAGCTTGCAGAGAGTTGCAATTTCCTAGTTTCTTGCACATTCTCCTGGTTTTTCAGCCCTTTTTCATGGTAACAAGCTGCCCTTACATCCGTATTTTGAGTAGGAGGGCATGTAGTAAGAGTCAGCCCTCCCTGAAATGTAGAAGTCCCTGCAGTGTACAAAACCAGGCGTCACTTCAGTGATGAGAGAAATACACAAAAGTTCAGCACAATGCATACATTCACCAGTTGCTGACGTGGGAGCAGCTCATGCTTTGCTGCGCTGAACAGAAACGTTTGGTAGCTGTGCCAAATACAGCTGCTGTAGTCCTTCCTGGTCGCTGCAGTCGAGAGCGTTGTGTTGGCAGAGCTAGTATTACTGGATTGTACACACACCTGTAGTGTGTCATTTAACAAAGGCAAACGCATCCAATTAAATGCTTGCATAAGCTTCAGCTGCGTGTAACGCTCGCCTCCACGTATTGTTTCAAAAACTTGAGTTGGATCAGCGTGAAATAGGGTTGAAATATTGTTGAAGATGTTACAGAGAGAATTGGGAATGGAACCTGCTGCGTCATCGTACTCTTTGGTTGGACCGTTGAGTTGACTTAACTTCCCATTCTCCCCTCTCTTTCTTTTGTATAGTACAAACAAAATCCAGAAATGTTTAAACAGACAGCTCGACTTTGGGCACATGTGTATGCTGGAGCACCAGTTTCTAGTCCAGAATACACCAGAAAAATAGAAAACCTTTGTGCTATGGGCTTTGATAGGGTAAGTATATCCATGAGGTTCCCTTCCAACCCAAGCCGTTCTATGATAGGTAACTTGAATGTTTTCCAGTAGGAGTGGGGCAAGCATATAGGCAATAGGAGCCATTCAGACATTGAAGTAAAACTGGCCATTTCTGTTCAATTTGGAGGGTCAGTCAGGCGGTTTGGCTGCAGTTGGAGTTCTGAGATGCTTCGTTGTTAGTGAAAGAATAAATTAGTAAATCTGAAGTTCCCTCACCCTTTTTGAAATAACCTTTCTGAAAATGATTAGCTAAGACTTGGGTGAAAAACCAACATAAGCTGATAAATCTGCAAACAAATTTCATTTCTCAGTTGCAGGCTCACGCACTGAAAATGTTGCTGTTACCTGTTTACCTTACTGTTTGTTTTCTCATTGCAGAATGCAGTAATAGTGGCCTTGTCTTCAAAATCATGGGATGTAGAGACTGCAACAGAATTACTCCTGAGTAACTGAACCATGTAGAGAGCTGCTTCGGTTGTCCAGCTTGCCCCTTCGGAGGAGCATCACCATCTGTTATTTTTAGGATTCTATATAGATTCTCTTTTAAAACTGGCACTCTTGCCTGATGATGCTATCTAGGCACGATTGGAGACTGAAAAACCGCTCTGTAAATAAAGCTAATTAAACGTCTGTGTAAATTTAAAAAGGGGAAATACTTTAATTTTTTTCTTACTAAATATTGTAAAAATTCTTTGAGCTCAGCTAAAATAAGGGGGGGAAAAACATGCCTACTTTCGTGTTTAGCAGTGTGACGAAAACTAGCAGGAACTTTCTTCAGGATTTTGATTTAGTAATTCAGAAAGCCACATTTTGAGTGTTAGTCATCAAAATTGTTGGTGCCGCTCATCACAGCTATCTTACTGTTCTTAACATGGATCCTATGTGCCTGTGGATTGACCTATATTTGCATGCTTGTACTTAATAGACGTATTAGGTAGGGGCGCTGAAGAGAGCACCATTTAAATACTCGAGTGTTCCTGTTTTCCTGAAAGACTTTAAAAGATTCACCCAAAGTTGCAAATGGTGACCTGTTCAGAACCTTTTTCTTCGTAGCTTATTAATTGGGGAGCCGGATTCTCTTCTCCCTGACGTCATACAGCTAAGAACCCTCCCTCGATGATTCTTCATTCTGTTGGTATTGTGTGCCATGTATGGTAGTCTAGGCTCGCCTATGAAGAACATATTTTGAATTATCAGTGATTTTCATCCATCGTATTTTCTACACACTAGTAAGGGTTTAGTATGCCTTGATATAGCACAAGAATGGAGCTGGTTTTCTTTTCTTTTTTTTTTTCTTTTTGTCTTAAGTGGATGTAAAATGTTCTTCAATATATCTTGGATAATATGACTTCACTGGATTTGAAGGAGGAAAAAGCTAATTCTCTGGCATACTGAGAATTATATTTTCTTTTGAGTGCTTGATATGATGCAATCAGCTGTTTTTGCAGCAGTTTCCTAGCTTTATTTTGGGCTTCAGTTTAAGGATTGCTTTCCAGGTACTTGAAAACTCATCCTTGCTTGCGTTTTTCTCTAGTTGACACATGGAGGCTGTGTTGGTGTTTTTACTGTACATACTTCAAATGCACATAGAAGTTTGTTCTCAATTTAGCTTTCTTTTGGATTGATGTTTCTGATAAACGAGAACTGAAACTTACCTTGGCTTGTACATACAGTCAGTCGTCTTATTCGTATTAAAATGACATTTCATCCTGAGTGCAAAAGCTTGAAAATTATTAGTTTTGCAACTTCAAACACTAGTACATCTATTTAAAGAGAGCTCTACTGTCTTTATGAATATGATGCTAACTTTTGAGAATATATCTGACAAGGACGTTCAGAGAAATGCTGAGAATAGGGTGGGGATTGTCAGTGCTGTACCACGTAAGGCATTTTTCCACAACTGTCTCTTCTCCTGAAGAGTGCATTAATGGGGTGGGATGTGGGGAGGGACGTCTGGTTGGGGTTTCTCTTGGACTGTGAAGTGCAGGCTGAAATAGTTTCACTCTTCGTAGAGGTTTGTTTAGAAGTTGTACTGGATGAGATCAGGAACGCTGCACCTGATCAGTGTCTGGAGCACAGCTGTGGAACAGAACCAGAAAGTAGAGCTGTACAGACCCAACTCTTCGGGGATGCGCTCTGAACTCTTCTGTCCCATGTGTCCGAGCTTAAAATATTTTGGGGGCACAGACAGTAAATACTTCTAGCTCATATCAGTGCAATACTAAATGCATTTGCTTAGTCTTATACATACTGCTTTTTGAGGTGTAGTCTGATCACTTTTCTTGGATTTTCTTCAGTTAGTGTAAATCATTCTCGAAGATGCCAAAGGAAACAAATTGTTTTGTCTTTCTTTATATTTATTTATTTTTTTAAACAAGAAGCTGCTACTGTTCAGCTGGTTTGCTAGGTGAGAACCAGGGACGGTAGGAAACTGGCAGAACGCCGCTAGTGTTAACCTCAGATTGCTGTTTTTTCTGTTGTACAGGGTAAAAACTTGATTACATCAACTCCTTTTCTGTTGTGTTGTTTTATCCTGGTGGTAATTATAAATTGCTGACTGCTTTCCCTTGCTCTTCGCTGCTATTCATCAAAAGAAGAAACTCTGAAATTGTTGTCAAGGGATATAAAACTTCTGTCGTGGGCTTCTGCGTGTGTCTTTGGATGAGATCGGTCTCCTAAGAGCGCCCACTGAAAGCGCGTGTCCAGAGGTACCCACATTTCCTGAACTGTGCGTAAAGGAAGATGGGGAGGGAAGAAGAGTGGAAGTGGTTTTGAGGTGGTCATGGTCACCACTGAAACAACGCCCTGTTAACTTCTGTTTCTCTTGTGAAGTTACCTCATTGTTGTCTCCGTACAAGAACACTTGTCTTCCCTTTCCCTTACGCGTAGGTGTTGGATGCTATTTTTTGCCCTCCATCCCCACGTGCTTTACAGCAGAGATACCTTGATGCTGGCTCAGGTGCTGGCAGAGGGCAGCTTCTCAAGGCCTGAGCTGGGAAGGAGAGATGACATTAGGGAGACATCAGTGGGCTGAAGTTCTCGAGTTCTCATGTTAGTCTTTCCTAAGGAGTGGTTTTGTCTTCTCGATAGTTATCAGAGTTGAATACAGGAATAAGGTTGTTCAGGGTTGGTTCAGCTGCAGCTGGGGCTGAGCCCCAGGGAGTTTACTATCAGCATTCAGCTCGCTGAGTTTGTACACAATGTAGTTGTGCCATGTGCGTGAGCGGCGCCATGTTGTGGGCCCTACACATGGCCAATGCAGAGCTGCCACACTGCTCACTGCTTCAGGCTCAGGCTCACATTTCCTGCTTGCTTAAAACGAATTTTTGTGAACTGTGGGGACAGTTGCTTGCCGAGTACAATAAATCTCATATTGTCGTCCTTCAGTATTTAAGAAAGCAGCTTGAAACAGTTATTCTGAAGTCTAGATGGCCCAGTTTTTCTTAACAAGGCGTTGCTAATGGAGCATACAGATTTCCAGAGCGTGAGATCTCACTGCTCAACATTTTAATGTTCATCTGGCAAAGTGGTTGGTGGGGAACCAGCAGCTCCTATCTCATCCACTTCTTCAAAAAGCATAGTGTAATTTTGCATAGAGATAAAGGAATGTCCCTTTGTGTTGCCAAAAGCCTCAGTTTTCCCGTGAGTGCCAAACTCTCCATCTCTGGCATCTGCTCCCCCTTGCCAAACTCGCAGCTTTCTCCCTCGTGTCTGTGAGGGAGTTGTGCTCCTGCTGTGACCAACTGGGACCTCTTGGACAAAGCTTAGCGATGGATCCTTCCAGAAAGTTCTGGCCTGCGGTGCTACTCCTGCGTGTTCCAAACTTCCCTTTTGCAGCAAAAAGCGTGCCAAGCCAGCAGCGCAGAACTGGGTATGAGTGAGCAGCTTTCTGGTGAGCCTTGTGCCAGCTGGGCGCTGTGCTGTGCCTAGCCCAGGAGTTAGCGTGGGGCTGGGTGCTAACGCACTAGGAATATTGTCTGTCCGTCTTCTCCTTTCAGATCAGAATAAAAGAATTAAATAGGCAGGAAGGAGCTTACCTGGTGATACCGAGCCTGTCGGGGGTGGTGTGGGCAACAAACATTCAAACTATGCAAATTGAAGCTGTGAATCAGTCTGGGTACTTGAAAGCCTATGGAGTGCTGATTTATGGGAGGGGGAAAATCAAACCTGAAACGTAGTTTCAAGCAAGAGTTCTTGTTTACTGCATCTCCTAATGTGAAATGTTCTGTTTTCAGAGTGAGGGGAAGAAGCTTGACTGTGAGCACGTCCCTTGCTTCCTTCCTAAATACCAATAAAAGCTGGCTTAGTGTTGGAGGCTTGCCCAAAGGGGAAAAGGATAACCACCTGAGCAGTGCTAGTTTGGTTTCGTGTCTGCTTATATGCAGCCTCAAGAAGGTCAGGTGTCCTGTCCTGCTCCTGCCCTATTTGTTGATGGCAGAAGTTGATCCAAACATCTAGCTGCTCACTTGTGCTGCGCTTGTAGGACTTGATGAGCTGAGAACGCCCTTCATCGTGCCATCCATTGCATCGTCCAGCTGCAGCAGGAAGCCAGGGTGCTCAGCGAGTGCCTCGGGCTTTGCCTGGGAAGGCTGTGCAGGTGGTTTGCTATGAACTCTCCTCATTTTCCAGTCAGAGCCTTCTCCCATGGCTAGGTGAAGAAGCAGCTGTTTCTTCCCTCTTGCTCATTTTCTGATCTATTCTGAAGCCATCAGTGGCTGCACACAGCTCGCTCTTCTGCTGGTGCTGCATCCTCAGCTGGTTCAGCTGTAGCCACATCAGCCCAGCTGTCCTCAATGCATTTTGCTTCTTGCTCGGTTATTCCAGCTGCAGTGCCCTGGAGTTAGCAACTCATCTTTTCAGATCTGCTCTCATTCAGCAAAATCTTAGAACTCGTTTGCCCTGTACTGTGATGTTCCTTCTCTGCTGTTACCTGCTTTGTAGGCATCAAACTCTCTGGCCGGCTGCTTGTGGCGCTGAGCCTCTCCTTGCTGGTGTCAGCTGGGAGACGTGACTCAACAGCTGAGGAAATGTACTGTGAAAATGCTGTATCTGCCCACTGCTGGTGCTGGGGGGTGGCTGGAGCAGGCTGCCCTCATAACGCTGATGTCAGCTGTGGAAGAACCCTGCTTTTCACTTTTCCATCTGAAATTCTGACTTTTCTTAAAAAAAAAACCAAAAAACCAAAAAAAAAAAAAAAAAAAAAACAACAAAAAAAAAAAAAAAAACAACCTGAAAACCCTAAAAAATATATTAAAAAGTCTGATAAAAGCTTGGTAGGAGGTGGGCTCCTGTGCATCAGCCTGCCTGTAATGGAGTGGGGGGGCTGGGATGCAGCATCAGTGTTTTTTGTCTTGAAAATAAAAACACAAACACTTTTGTACACAAATGATTTTTTAAATAAACACACATTTGAAAAGATGTTGATTTCTTTTCGCTGGGAATGCTTAATAAATGCATGTTTCCCTGAAAGCAGTTTTCTTTTTATTTCTGGTATTTCAGATGGTTCTCGTGTTCCCCAGTGCACTGCCTCTGTGTCAGCAGTGAGAGCGGCTGGGCTCTGTCCTAATGCTCGTGGAAAAGGGAGAAATGGTGTAAATTTAATCTGTGTGGTGAAAGCGTGATTTTGGCTAAGGCTCACAGAGCACA